GTTACAGCTTTGTCTCTGATTGTGACTGTTACAGCTTTGTCTCTGATTGTGACTGTTACAGATTTGTCTCTGATTGTGACTGTTATTGTGACTGTTACAGCTTTGTCTCTGATTGTGACTGTTACAGATTTGTCTCTGATTGTGACTGTTACAGATTTGTCTCTGATTGTGACTGTTACAGCTTTGTCTCTGATTGTGACTGTTACAGATTTGTCTCTGATTGTGACTGTTACAGATTTGTCTCTGATTGTGACTGTTATTGTGACTGTTACAGCTTTGTCTCTGATTGTGACTGTTATTGTGACTGTTACAGCTTTGTCTCTGATTGTGACTGTTATTGTGACTGTTACAGCTTTGTCTCTGATTGTGACTGTTACAGCTTTGTCTCTGATTGTGATCGTGACAGCTTTGTCTCCGATTGTGACTGTTACAGCGTTGTCTCTGATTGTGACTGTTACAACATTGTCTCTGATTGTGACTGTTACAGCGTTGTCTCTGATTGTGACTGTTACAGCGTTGTCTCTGATTGTGACTGTTACAGCTTTGTCTCTGATTGTGACTGTTACAGCTTTGCCTCTGATTGTGACTGTTATTGTGACTGTTACAGCTTTTTCTCTGATTGTGACTGTTACAGATTTGTCTCTGATTGTGACTGTTACAACATTGTCTCTGATTGTGACTGTTACAGCGTTGTCTCTGATTGTGACTGTTACAGCGTTGTCTCTGATTGTGACTGTTGCAGCTTTGTCTCTGATTGTGACTGTTACAGCTTTGTCTCTGATTGTGACTGTTACAGATTTGTCTCTGATTGTGACTGTTACAGCTTTGTCTCTGATTGTGACTGTTACAGCTTTGTCTCTGATTGTGACTGTTATTGTGACTGTTACAGCGTTGTCTCTGATTGTGACTGTTACAACATTGTCTCTGATTGTGACTGTTACAGCGTTGTCTCTGATTGTGACTGTTACAGCTTTGTCTCTGATTGTGACTGTTACAGCTTTGTCTCTGATTGTGACTGTTACAGCTTTGTCTCTGATTGTGACTGTTACAGCTTTGTCTCTGATTGTGACTGTTACAGCTTTGTCTCTGATTGTGACTGTTACAGATTTGTCTCTGATTTTAATTGTTTCGATACTTTATTGTTGTAGAATTTCTGTAAGTTGTTTGGTGCCCGACTGGTCTCAGTGGAAAGCGAACGTGAGGACAAGATGCTTCGTGCTCACGGCTATACTATACCACGTATGTAGTAGAAATATCACCGTATCATATCAAACAAATAATATTCAATACACAATATCATTGAATGTTAGTTTCAAACCAAAATATATACAGAGGAAAGATTTCAATGACTCATTCAAAAGTACAAGGATAATAAGACCAGGTGTTTCGAAAGCGTCGTTTTCTTCATCGACGACACCCGCCATGTATAATTTGGTCAATGAAAGTAAATAATGCAAAAATTCTTAAAATTAATTTATTGAAGGACAGCATCAGCAAAAGTATATTCGCGAGGGGGTTTTCGCGAATGATGCTTCTCGCGAATAAACACGAAAAATAATCCTTCGCTAATAATTAGTGATTTACAGTAACTGTGTTTAATTCGTTTCCCATTACACATTCATTTTGCTTACATTTTATCCTCGAATAATAAATTTTAAATTTGAGAAATTACCCATCTATTGGAGGTTTGTAAATGGTCTTATATGACTAAGCTTAATATGATATAGACCTGCCCTAACGGTTTAGACTGTGATATTCACATGTAACATTTGCGACACTGATAATAAGTGTCCTATGGAATGGCGGATGGCAGTGATTTACACCTAGTACATGAGTCTAACTCAGACGGACCCAGGACGGAAACTACGATAAATGGTACATTTATTTCCATCGAAGATGTGTAAACAAATCGGTGTCAGGAAAATCATTCTCACATATCTAAGGTCTCACATAAACTTACTCTACTCAAAAATACGTAGCGACATTGCTTAGAATCAGACATGATTAAATTAAACTGACTTGCTTTGAACATCACATTGCTGGTTATAGGGTTGATCTACGTACAGTCAATGATAGTCATAATAAAGCCCCAAACACAACTGACTAGGACTAACCAGCTGTATGATGTAATTAAATTCATACTTTTGCTTAAATCATATTGAGACGTTCTACTGTATGCTGTACATATTTTATACTGTCACCAAGTATCATGATTCTATCCTAAATTAAATCCGACCGTCCCAAATACACACGGTACAGACATGCCGAATATCGATGTCCTCGGGACAACAAACCCGACAGTCCAAATACACACGGTACAGACATGCCGAATATCCATGGCCTCGGGACAACAAACCCGACAGTCCAAATACACACGGTACAGACATGCCGAATATCGATGACCTCGGGACAACAAACCCGACAGTCCAAATACACACGGTACAGACATGCCGAATATTGATGGCCTCGCGAAAACAAACTGGCAAGTCCAAATACACACGGTACAGACATGCCGAATATCGGTGGCCTCGCGAAAACAAAATAGTGAAATCTAATATAATTAGGGCAAACTATGAACAAAAGAGCGGTTAACACGGAGAATGTACATAGCGAGTACTTGATCACATATAAGCTGTATTTTGATGAGGGTGTAGAAAGTGGAGAGCCTCTGGCGAGCCTTCTTTTATCTTTCTGTTCCAAACCAAACTGCAGCTTGTCTTTTAAGACACGGACCATATATTCCATTTATCCAGCAAAATTGATGAATAATAAGACCTTCCAAGTTTCAATGGTTTTGTTGATCAAATTTTGTTTACCTGACGATGACGTTACGTGAAATTCTGACAGACGACGTACGCCAAAATAATTGCTCCTTGCAGAATCTAAGTTTTAAAATTTAACGGTACGAGAGTGATTACTTTTTAAGTTTCGTACATTAACTTGTTCATTGTTACATATAAAATCACTTATTCACACATTTCTTTATATTGTTAAACATAATTTTAAGTAAATGCAGAAAATAGTTCCTTCGAATAACGCACAGCAAAAATATATGACAACTACAAGAAAATACCAATATGTCCACGTAATCCAAACTCAGATTCAATAAAACTAGAACAAAATATGAACAAAAGATAGTTTAACACAGAAACTCTTGAGAAAGTGCAAGTAGAATAAAACCAGGTGAAAGATTCGATGAATATATATGTTACACTACCAAAACCGGCTTAACATAAACGTTAGGACACCTTCCTGAGTACCCCATAATAAGTATACTTTTACTAATCCAGGACGAATTATTACTTGGAACATGTACAACATCCTTTCATATAACAATTTTTTTCGGTTAAAAGTGTCTTTATTCGCTACATAAATGATTATTCTTATTCTCCGGTATTCGCATAATTTGTCAATTTTCGTTTTGGATATATCTTGTTACATTTAGAATTTCTCTCAGATACTCCATAGGTCATCACCTTTCGTTTCCAAGTATTTCTCGAATCGATACGAATGTAACCCTCCCGGTACCGAATGATATGTGTACCGTCGTTTCTATCACTTTTTCTGTTTAATACAAGTTTTACGCTTCCTGGTAACCAATATTATTCCCACTTTCGTTTCTCGGGTTAATACAAAGGTTTCCCTCTCGGGTACCCCATTAAGTGTCTACTTCCGTTTTAGTTTCTCGTTATTCTAGACCGATTGGGATTTCCAGTCTGGTGGATAACAGATAAATAGCCTTCTACTATAACATCTGGTCGTTGGTAAGGTAAGTTGTATTATATTTTTGGCTATAAACCAGATTTGTGTTACTGTTAGGTACCTCATAGGTCATCTCCTTTCGTTTCTAAGTATTTCTCCAATCAATACGAATGTAATCCCCCCGGAACCGAATGATATGTTTACCTTTGTTTCTATCACGTGTTCTGATTAATACTATTTGTACCAGCCAGATAACCCATATTATTTTTACTTTCATTGCTAAGACTTCCTCGGTTTAATACAAAGGTTACCCTCTCGGGTACCCCATTAAGTGTCTACTTTCGTGTTAGTTTCTCGTTATTCTAGACCGATTGGGATTTCCAGTCTGGTGGATAACAGATAAATAGCCTTCTACTATAACATCTGGTCGTTGGTAAGGTAAGTTGTATTATATTGTCGGCTATAAACCAGATTCGTGTTACACTTTTGACATTAAGGCGTACACTTAAGGTTGTACGTTTTGTGAAACTGGATGTGTGCATCAAACCGGAAACAGGTTAGTCGTGGATAAGTGTTAAGGAATGGCGTTATATTGCTTTATCTCGACATTGTTATTATTTAACGTTTCATTGAATTGAAAGGAGTTGATCTCAAATCACTAGACAGGATAAGCTAAAACCATATTTGAGATGTGAAAATACTTTGATAACCTTGAATCAAGCACTTTTCATGGATTAAACACGCGTTATCATAGACCGGAAGTAGGTAGGGCTGACAAAATTTACGAACATTGAAACTAATCACGAAACCGAATTCGGAAATGGCTACCTCGAAAGTCAGCTATGAAAGTTAAGAAATATGCTACACACCAAATAAATTAGCACAGCTTATCAATCTTACCACATTTTACTTAATTGAAACAGCGAAACTCATTAAACGCGGTTACTTATCTTGTAAAAGAAGGTTAGACTTTGAAAAAAGGAAAATATTTGCACAAAGTTTAAAACAGATGATGATAAAAGAGGAAGTAAAGATTAGTCTAAGATTTAGAAATCTAATTAGATCGTTCATTTCACATCACGCTACAGGTCCGTCATATAACGAGACACGAAATAAAATCAGCGATGTGATATTAATTTGTATTCCGTTTTCAAGCTTTCTTTTATCGGACCGTTTTGCGTTCTGTTTTTGATGCGTGCTTTTTTATTTTTGTGTTTTCTTCAAAGAACGGTTTTAAATGACGATTTTATTACAAACATTATTCTGTTGAAACTTTCCGTAATCTTTCAGATTTTAACATGGCAACTGCACAGACTCAAGAACAGATTTGGCAGAGTGATAAATCATTGGCTGAATGTTTGGGCCATCTCTTCACTTCCGGTATAGCATGTGACGTCACATTCCTGGTTGAAGAAGGAAAATCTAAGATTTCCGCCCACAAAACGATTCTCATCAGCAGGAGCCCCGTATTTTATGCTATGTTCGAGGGAGATCTCGCCGAAAAAGGAGAAATTGTCATTCCGGATATGACGCAGGAGATATTTACATTGTTTCTAAGGTGATATTGATTTTAATGTCATATTCCAGTTTCCGAAAACCTCTCTGGTTATAAAAACATCCTATTCGTTGATCATACATTGATGTTATTTTACATAGATGTAACCGATTTAACAGAGCGCTGGTGTCACTGTCAGTTATAAACAATGGTAGTACATAAGAGATGTATGTTTTATATAAGATACATGGGTTCTGTGTTTATATCGTAGACTTTATCTGACTGTTTGTTTATTCTGCTATACCTTGAAACTAGTCATGCATTTAGAAATTACATACAAAAAGTGTTCATGCTCTAAGGCTATTTTCCTCAAGAAATGTCAGTTCTAGATTAATTTGTTTCACTTAGTATTTTGAAAGCTATTTAATTCTGTCGGTCTAATTCGAATAACACAACTGTTGTTTCCAAAGAGTGATATGTCATTCCGATACTTCTTGTTGTGTGGTGATAATTATATATTCCATAACTATCTTGGCCCTCTGATATTTTTTTTAAAAGCTGAATCTGTTTAGTTGCTGCTGTAAAATTTGGTATTGATCTTGTCCCTAAATCAATTGCAGATTTCTAGCTTCTAACTCTCGTCTTGGTTATGCTATATATATAAAGTACTTCCCGAAATGTTAGAAATGATTTTAAACAATTACTGGAAGTTTGGGGACTAAAATCCTCACGTGTTTCACTACTTTGTCTTTGATTTCCTCTTGCTGTTTGTAGTTTCTTCTGACGGTGTGTTGTCTTCCATTTTGATATTTTTGACGAGGTAAAGTTTTGTCACCACGAGTTATTGGTTATACAGTATGTTGTTAGTTGTAAAATCTGGTTCGTAATCTATTTGAATAATGTCAACTAAATATGAATGGACGATTGAATGAATAGGTATGTAGTAGAACATCGACACTAAAATTAGTTTATTTGAATCCAGTTGTTTGTTCAAATTGTAGGTACCTTTATACGGACACAATAGAATTCAGCGACACTGTAGCAATGCCTGTCCTATCTGTTGCGAGGAAATACATGGTGGATAATCTTGTTACCGAATGTCAAACCTTCATTAAGAAATCCATAACTCCGGAAAATGGATGCTTCTGGTTGGAACAATCCCACCTACATACAGAAGAAAGCATGATGGAAGAATGTCTACCTTTGATAAACAAAACACCGGAAGTAGTGCTAAAATCCACAAGTTTCCTTGACTTGTGCGGTATCTGCGTGAAACGTATCACAGAGTCGGACAACCTGAATGTGGATGAGAGGATGGCGTACGAGGCGGTGATTCGTTGGGGGGAGGCAGAGTGTGAACGTCAGGGACTGGAGTTGACAGACAGCAATGTCCGGAAGGTACTCGGGGACGTCCTCTACACCATCAGGTTTCCGGTTCTTGATTCTAAGTATTTTACACAACAGGTCCTCACGAGAAATGTCCTAACACCAGAACAGTTAGTGAACATCATAAGGCATCAACAGGACAGCAAAACATATGTCTGTACGGACTTTAATGATAAACAACGACAAACAAGTATACCAGTAAAAGGCCAATATGAATGTGTTGAAAGGTTTGCAGTAACAATGGAAAGTCTATGGGATTCGTTGGCTCTCCAGGATAATGATAGTATATCTTTTACCTCATCCGTTAATAGATGTCTACATGGGCTGAAGCTTTACGGCTCATATCAAGCGAACCAGAATATTGATATAGGAGTGTACGGTGAGCAAGGTTACACACTGTACAAACAAAACCACACTCTGACAAACACAGATGTGTGTAGGATAGAATTCGATCAGATTATTAGAATTATAGCAGGGCAGACTTACACAATCGTCTTACACGGTGGAGTACGCACACATGGGTATGGGACAGAAGGGCGTTTACAGGTACAATGTAGTAAAGGATATATTCAGTTTTCTCGAAGCTCATTATTTCCGTGTCATACTACAGATACGTCTCATGGGTATGGGACAGAAGGGCGTTTACAGGTACAATGTAGTAAAGGATATATTCAGTTTTCTCGAAGCTCATTATTTCCGTGTCATACTACAGATACGTCTCATGGGTATGGGACAGAAGGGCGTTTACAGGTACAATGTAGTAAAGGATATATTCAGTTTTCTCGAAGCTCATTATTTCCGTGTCATACTACAGATACGTCTCATGGGTATGGGACAGAAGGGCGTTTACAGGTACAATGTAGTAAAGGATATATTCAGTTTTCTCGAAGCTCATTATTTCCGTGTCATACTACAGATACGTCTCATGGGTATGGGACAGAAGGGCGTTTACAGGTACAATGTAGTAAAGGATATATTCAGTTTTCTCGAAGCTCATTATTTCCGTGTCATACTACAGATACGTCTCATGGGTATGGGACAGAAGGGCGTTTACAGGTACAATGTAGTAAAGGATATATTCAGTTTTCTCGAAGCTCATTATTTCCGTGTCATACTACAGATACGTCTCATGGGTATGGGACAGAAGGGCGTTTACAGGTACAATGTAGTAAAGGATATATTCAGTTTTCTCGAAGCTCATTATTTCCGTGTCATACTACAGATACGTCTCATGGGTATGGGACAGAAGGGCGTTTACAGGTACAATGTAGTAAAGGATATATTCAGTTTTCTCGAAGCTCATTATTTCCGTGTCATACTACAGATACGTCTCATGGGTATGGGACAGAAGGGCGTTTACAGGTACAATGTAGTAAAGGATATATTCAGTTTTCTCGAAGCTCATTATTTCCGTGTCATACTACAGATACGTCTCATGGGTATGGGACAGAAGGGCGTTTACAGGTACAATGTAGTAAAGGATATATTCAGTTTTCTCGAAGCTCATTATTTCCGTGTCATACTACAGATACGTCTCATGGGTATGGGACAGAAGGGCGTTTACAGGTACAATGTAGTAAAGGATATATTCAGTTTTCTCGAAGCTCATTATTTCCGTGCCATACTACAGATACGTCTCATGGGTATGGGACAGAAGGGCGTTTACAGGTACAATGTAGTAAAGGATATATTCAGTTTTCTCGAAGCTCATTATTTCCGTGCCATACTACAGATACGTCTCATGGGTATGGGACAGAAGGGCGTTTACAGGTACAATGTAGTAAAGGATATATTCAGTTTTCTCGAAGCTCATTATTTCCGTGTCATACTACAGATACGTCTCATGGGTATGGGACAGAAGGGCGTTTACAGGTACAATGTAGTAAAGGATATATTCAGTTTTCTCGAAGCTCATTATTTCCGTGTCATACTACAGATACGTCTCATGGGTATGGGACAGAAGGGCGTTTACAGGTACAATGTAGTAAAGGATATATTCAGTTTTCTCGAAGCTCATTATTTCCGTGTCATACTACAGATACGTCTCATGGGTATGGGACAGAAGGGCGTTTACAGGTACAATGTAGTAAAGGATATATTCAGTTTTCTCGAAGCTCATTATTTCCGTGTCATACTACAGATACGTCTCATGGGTATGGGACAGAAGGGCGTTTACAGGTACAATGTAGTAAAGGATATATTCAGTTTTCTCGAAGCTCATTATTTCCGTGTCATACTACAGATACGTCTCATGGGTATGGGACAGAAGGGCGTTTACAGGTACAATGTAGTAAAGGATATATTCAGTTTTATCGAAGCTCATTATTTCCGTGTCATACTACAGATACGTCTCATGGGTATGGGACAGAAGGGCGTTTACAGGTACAATGTAGTAAAGGATATATTCAGTTTTCTCGAAGCTCATTATTTCCGTGTCATACTACAGATACGTCTCATGGGTATGGGACAGAAGGGCGTTTACAGGTACAATGTAGTAAAGGATATATTCAGTTTTCTCGAAGCTCATTATTTCCGTGTCATACTACAGATACGTCTCATGGGTATGGGACAGAAGGGCGTTTACAGGTACAATGTAGTAAAGGATATATTCAGTTTTCTCGAAGCTCATTATTTCCGTGTCATACTACAGATACGTCTCATGGGTATGGGACAGAAGGGCGTTTACAGGTACAATGTAGTAAAGGATATATTCAGTTTTCTCGAAGCTCATTATTTCCGTGTCATACTACAGATACGTCTCATGGTCAGATTCCAGCACTACTGGTTTCATTCTAAATTTTATTTCAAGGGAGAGAAGAACTATTCTACCGGAACAAATCCAGATATCAATAATGACTTTGTGAAGGATTAGGTAGCTGAGTACCCGTCGCATTTGTGAATAATTTGTTCAAGGTGTCGTTTTTCGTATAAACTGACAGTAGGAGTGTCTCATCGGACATTTTACCATAGAATCCAAACCCATGCAACAAACATTTGATTGTAACTAGGATTAAACCAATATTTCAGTTTGTCCTTAAGAATTAGGATCCTAGATTTTTTATGTTGCATATACTTTTTAGCTACTTAGTTGGTGGCAAATAAGTTAGTTGGTGAATTATAACGTCCCAACATCCTGGGTGTCATTATATGAAGTTGATGTCACAACTCAAGAGTATGATGAACGATAGGGAAAAATAAACAGTGATATCAAATTGTGAAGTCAAATGACAGTAATACTTTGCTTCTGGAATCAGTCTTCTTTCAAAAAGTGTTAAAGATGGACGCTTTAAAGTCTTTGTAATAATCTAGATTTGAAGATTCCCATCGTCATTCTTTTTTGTGCCAAAAACTGACATGTTTACGCCTTAAAAGTAAGGTCATGTGCATTTAAAATATATTCCTCCCTGAACTGTTGAACTGTCATAAGAAAAGGAGACAATTTCTATCAGTCGAATAACAAATGTACAGGGAGTTTATATCTTAGAAATAGAGAGACGATCATGTAAAGACAGGATATTTTGAGAACATTAATATTTTTCTGTACACTTAATACCGGATCTTAAACCTGATGAGGATTTAATGTAGGTGCGTACACACGTGCATTATGTTATTATTTCAACTTTGATAAATGATGTTAAAGGATATTGTGATATAGGGATAGACATCTGTGACATATTCAATACTATACACATATTATTAACAAACTTTGATCGACAGAGGGTATACTATTGATAATAAAAGACTTTAAGGTTGAGGTCACTTTAGATTTGTATTGAAACTCCTCCAGCTCAGTAATCAAGTGGTACAGATTCCTGATATAACCACTACAGTAATAGTTGAAGTGTGAAGTTACCGCCATTGGTACAATGACCATCAGATTGGTACAATGACCATAAGATTGGTACAATGACCATAAGGTTGGCACAATGACAATAAGATTTGTACAATGAGCATAAGATTGGTACAATGACCATAAGGTTGGCACAATGACAATAAGATTTGTACAATGAGCATAAGATTGGTACAATGACCATAAGGTTGGCACAATGACCATAAGGTTGGTACAATGACAATAAGATTGGTACAAACTCATTGGCACAATGACCATGAGTTTGGTACAATGACCATAAGATTGGTACAATGACAATATGATTGGCACAATGACAATAAGATTGTCACAATGACCATAAGTTTGGTACAATGACCCTAAGATTGGTACAATGACAATACGATTGGTACAATGACAATATGATTGGCACAATGACAATAAGATTGTCACAATGACCATAAGATTGGTACAATGACAATGACAATAAGATTGGTACAATGACAATAAGATTGGTACAATGACCATAAGACTGGTACAATGACCATACGATTGGCACAATGACCATAAGACTGGTACAATGACAATAGGATTGGTACAATGACCACAAGATTGGTACAATGACAATAAGATTGGTACAATGACCATAAGATTGGTACAATGACCATAAGATTGGTACAATGACCCTAAGATTGGTACAATGACAATAAGATTGGTACAATGACCATAAGACTGGTACAATGACCATACGATTGGCACAATGACCATAAGACTGGTACAATGACAATAAGATTGGCACAATGACCATAAGGTTGGCACAATGACCATACGATTGGCACAATGACCACAAGATTGGTACAATGACAATAGGATTGGTACAATGACCACAAGATTGGTACAATGACCCTAAGATTGGTACAATGACAATAAGATTGGTACAATGACCATAAGATTGGTACAATGACCATAAGATTGGTACAATGACCATAAGATTGGTACAATGACCATAAGTTTGGTACAATGACCATCAGATTGGTACAATGACCATAAGATTGGTACAATGACAATAAGATTGGTACAATGACCATAAGATTGGTACAATGACCATAAGATTGGTACAATGACCATAAGATTGGTACAATGACCATAAGATTGGTTGGTACAGATTGGTACACCATAAGATTGGTACAATGACCATAAGATTGGTACAATGACAATAAGATTGGTACAATGACCATAAGACTGGTACAATGACCATCAGATTGGTACAATGACCATAAGATTGGTACAATGACCCTAAGATTGGTACAATGACTATAAGACTGGTACAATGACCATAAGATTGGTACAATGACCATCAGATTGGTACAATGACCATAAGATTGGTACAATGACAATAAGATTGGCACAATGACCACAAGATTGGTACAATGACCCTAAGATTGGTACTATGACAATAAGATTGGTACAATGACCATAAGACTGGTACAATGACCATCAGATTGGTACAATGACCATCAGATTGGTACAATGACCATAAGATTGGTACAATGACTATAAGACTGGTACAATGACCATAAGATTGGTACAATGACCATAAGATTGGTACAATGACCATAAGATTGGTACAATGACAATAAGATTGGTACAATGACCATACGATTGGCACAATGACCATAAGATTGGTACAATGACCATAAGACTGGTACAATGACCATCAGATTGGTACAATGACCATAAGATTGGTACAATGACCATAAGATTGGTACAATGACCATAAGATTGGTACAATGACCATAAGTTTGGTACAATGACCCTAAGATTGGTACAATGACCATAAGATTGGTACAATGACCATAAGATTGGTACAATGACCATAAGATTGGTACAATGACCATCAGATTGGCACAATGACCATACGTTTGGTACAATGACCATCAGATTGGTACATTGACCATAAGATTGGTACAATGACCATAAGACTGGTACAATGACCATCAGATTGGTACAATGACAATAAGATTGGTAGAATGACAAGAAGAATGTGTATCCATCTTTAAAGATATCCTGTTAATTATAAGTACTAAATGGCGACTGTTTTGCCGTGTGTCTTGGCAGATGAACGAAATATCTATACGAAAACTTCCTTAGACCATTGTACCCGTGACTATATTAATAACGATTGTCACCGAAATATATTTTATGACATAGTCGAACTTGATCATGTAACTCGGCAGATGATAACGGTTAATTAAGTTTAATTAAGCGTAGTCAATAGTATCACGTGAATTTTCCAACAATTTTGACCGGCTATAATCAATATAAATTATAAATCAGATGACGTGTATGATCCCGAACACAATGCCAACAATAACAACCATTGGTAGTCTTTGACCTAATGCAAATTCCCTGACAATTTAAATTATTTCAGCTTTTAATTTTTTTTGTCTTTGCTGAAGAATGCAACCAAAACTTATTTCAATTCATGTATATCAGGTGTACAAATTGACAGAAGTATATCGCCATTTGTCTTCACATGATGAACTTTAAAAGCATATGATACAATTATTTTAAACTTTTAGGCATGGCAAGGAATATTTCCGGATCACTATATTAAGGATAGATATGAAAGTTTTACATACTATCTTAATCAAAACAAACTAACGTTTCGCTACGTGGCATCAATGGCTAGTATTACTAACATGGCTTACAATACAGCAATGGGACAAACGCCAGATACACATACATGCATCACAACTTAAATTAGCCATTGACTCATCATATCCGTTCTGAGTTCTCCCAGACACCTGTCGTTTTGATTTAAATCTTCTGCTTTAATCTCCTGATTTGATCTTGAAGATCTTATGTATAAGAAGAACAAACAATAGATTATTGAGTAATATGATTATATTCATATAAACAATACACGCAACAAAAAGACATATACAAAACAAAGAATTTTCGGTCAGGCATAGTGCATCTAAGCTGTATTGTATGAGATGATACAAATATAACATGAAATTGAATGAAATATGTTGCTTTGAAAATCGAAGATCTTAATGTGTTTCCATTTCATATAAGACTTATCAAAAGAATTCCATTTTAGAGTTCCATTGATGATGTTTAATGAAACATTGTGATCATTTCATTTTATGATATGAAGTGAAAAAAATATAAAATAAAACCTAATCTTTTAATTTACAAATATTCATGACCAATTCGTGCCGAGATCGTTACATAATTTAAACTGAAAATGTTTTCATTCTATATCTCAATATATGTCAAAATGTCAAAATTCATAGAATGTCATGAAATAAATGTGAACCGACAATCAACAACTCCGCTAAGTCATATTAAAAACGTGGAAAATAATAGTCACGTGCTGTTTCTCTTGAAATTCAAACCCAGCCAAACACCACTTCCAAAAATACCCTACATATTGTTATTATTTATCATATACCTAATAATATATATATGAAACAAAACATGTAATGATACAATGCATCAATTCAAAATAAGCAGTGTTGGTAATGATATTCGTAAGTCCAGATCTTTAAGACGAAGAATAATTTAACAAGGTAAATAGGTGAAATCCATCCTGGCTGAACAGTAAACATCTTATAAGTATCCATATTGATGTATGAGCAATCGGCATGTAAGGTACAATTTTCATTGCTTTGATATGTATGGATTTCTTGTAATCCTGTCATATTTGCTTCCGATGCCAATCGGGCAGACTCTTGATATAGGTCAGTATGCATTCTCCGAAAATACAAAAAAATGAATCAATATTCCCTTAAAGGAAGTTCTTTTATCATTGATGCGAACTTTGTAATGAAAGCGAAAGAAATTTTGATGCTAAGAATAATACATACAATGAACAACAGATAGCAGTTTAAGGTATAAATAAATTCACAATACTTTTTCACTATAGGTTATGTTGCGGTATAGTTCAACAAACGCTAGGAAGTCAGTGGTAGCAAGATAAACCTTCATAGTGTGATGTGGTACAATTTTAACGAATGTGTCTGATAATATCCGTTGTGTTTTCAGAATTTTTATTTTTTTAATGAAATTGTACATTAAAACAGAATTAGAAACAGCAACAAAAAGTAAAATATTGAATTTACCGCGTATTTTGAAAAACAAAAAGTTAAATATTGAATTTACCGCGTATTTTGAAAATTAAAAAAGTAAAAATACTATGTTTACGAAGTGTTTCAATTATCCTGCATACAATGTATGATTCAGAAAAAAATGTAATCAGCAGTCACGTGACAATGTGTGATATCGTTTGAATTTGCTTAGGTTATTTGAGACTTTGTATAATGAATCAGTCAGATACGAGGTTAGTAGCTAGCATTACATTGTATAGTCGGTTAGAACTCATGCATTGACAAAGATTTTATTGATATTCGGCAATCGAAGAGTTAAGTGTATAATAATCTTACAGCGTATGTGATGTATTCTAAGTTTGAAATAGTTATCAAAGAGCAGGCCACATCAAAAGATAAAAAGTACTGACATAAAAAACTCATCATCTGAGAGTATTTGTTTTTACTGGAATATAGAGTTTTGAGCTCTAGAAGGAAGGTTTTATCAGCTCTTGATTTGACGGTCTATTGACGTTAGAACGAGGTGAGCTTGAAGATGTAGTGGTCGTTGTTTTGGGGGTATGTGTCTGCAATACCTAAAATGAAAGCAAATTTAAATAGAGAGATTTACATAAATAGAACCAGAGTGTTTTATGGTTGAGTGGTTCATATCTGGAATTATCAATGACTACCTAAATCGTGTGTCATATTCAAAAGATACAGACAGAGAGAATGCGCTGTAAATAGCAATAGTATAACTTTCATTATTCGATGTTTTTGTGGATTTTTTTAATAATATATATGAAATCAGTTCTACAGTAAATATGCATTATGACTTGGATCTTATTAAAGTGTTTATATTTAAAGTATTTTTCTATACACATATATATACCTGTTTGGAGGGGTATGTCCGGAGCCTTCATAATCCTCCAGTACATATTGGTCTCATTTCTTGTTATTCCATAGACCGTAATGACCATAGGGCCGAAACTTGTCGGCACAGTGTCAAAACTGGAAAGTCAAACACACAATCATTTGTTACCATGTGATTCTGAATTTTTATACAGGAAGATATATCTGTGTCTGATAAGTAAACTTATTCTATAAAGAAAGACAAAAGCGTACTTTGTAAATCCTCATTGGCAGATCCAGGGAAAGGAGCACCTGAATACGCGCTTGGCCTGGGAAAATGGCCTATCATCTGTCCCTTCACTTTCAGAAATATAGAAATGCAAAACAAAATACGGGAAAAGAATAGAATAACACTTGGATACTCTTGGTCTAAACGTCATCCGTTAGTCGAGTTTTGAATGGTTGTATTAATTAATGAAGATTTAGATAGGTTTTACTAATTACCTACTTTATACAATAGACAGATTAGAGCGGCAATTTGCCAGGAAGACTTTTCATACACAAGTGAATAAAGCGTTGTCGAAATGATATTATCTATAAGGACTTTTTACTGCAGAATGTCGCTTTTGTAGTGGTAAGGACTGCAACATTTTGATACAAACTTCCTTTATTAATTTTTCTTTAATTTTGAAAAAAAAATCAAACCAAGACCCAACAGTTTAAAACGAAATTAAACTCAAATGTAGGATATAAATATTCCTAACGTTTAAGGTAATTTATTTTATTTTCAGTGTACCTGAAGTTGGAGGAAGCTTCATTCTGTAGGGCTTCCATCGCCTGCAGAAGGGTGGCGTTTGATGGAACAAGCAAAGAGCTATTCCATTGTCGCGTGGTGTTCGTAAGAATCGGGTCTTCAACTCCGATTGTGATGTTGAGCGTCCAGTTTGCTGTAACCGGCACTCCGGCTGAAAAGAACAAAGACAAAAAAAATTCAGACCACATATTAAATCGTTATTTTGTTCAGTTATTCAGCAGATAAAACCGCTATAGTTTCATGGACACATGCACACAAGGGTCCATAAGTCTTCACTAAGTCTGTAAACAGACTAGTATGCTCTGTTAAGTGTTTACTGTTCTGGGAGTACACCCCAGCCTTATAAAAAGTGGTAGCCATTAACAACAGAAAAGCATTATATCTTCAACGGTTGTGTAAGGACATTTGTATCCTGTCTCTGTGGCTGAAATCGTACCCCGAAACAGGTCACCCCGTTCATATTTTCCAATAAAACATATGTGTCTCCTATTAGTTGGGGCCCAATTGTCGTGGATGGAGTTCTAAAAACCAATGGAGGAGTTCTTGGTGTAGTACGACTGTCTATGTCTGTAATGACATCAAACGGGGAATACTGACCCACTATGTAACTTATGCTTTTGATTCTAACCTCAAGTTCCTGTATGTTTAGCTCTTTTTTTCTTCTTACAGATTCTTAACATACTCTGACATAATTTTTATTTGGGTAATTAGTTTTTTATCAGTGAGTAAAATTTCAAATTATGTATGTTATGGCCACAAACCGTTTTCAACCATAGTTCCAATTACAAATGTGTGAGTAACATTCTTGTGTTCGTGTGAAAACCTAAGGTTTTTTGTCAGGGTGATAGGATACCGATCAAAAACGATTTCTTTCATTCACTTTGATTAAAAATTAAATTAAAAGTTATATTCCAAAAATAGCTGACATATGTATACTTTATATATTTTTTTATATTTTATTTTTTTATTCAGTTTTAACATCACAAACACGTAACAATGCATTGTACATCATGAATCTTCAAACTACAGCAAATTTGTTGACTTTATGTTCTTCACACACAAAGCAGATAATTCATTTTTCACCACACACATACCAACAGACAACCCAAGTGCACACTGGTATTGAACATACAGCTTACATGTACATTCACACTTGTAGTAGCCAAATGTCACACATACAACACAAACCACCACTAGTGCTGATTAAAACAATAATGTATGTACTTGGTATGAGACCATGCATCCTCTGAACAGTATTGGGTTATTAATAAAACATATATATAGATATATAGGAGAATAGTGAATGTACATGTATAATGTACATCTTACATACCCATTGTGTCAAAAATGTATCACCTTGCGTTCATACTTCAGCCATAATCAGAAGACATACATACCTTTTACATGTATACTTACTTACAGAAATAGTTTTTAAACTTTTTCATACAATGGTGTTGTGACTTATGAGAGAGATAGGGAGAGGGAGAGAGAGAAACGGGGGGGGGGGGGGGGGGGTGTTAAAGACAGGAGGGATGGATAACTGTTAATATTAAACAAGTAAAGAATAATTTATAATCTAATAATAAATCTTTGTACATTGTGATAATCTTTGATTGTGTTTACTAAGGCGTTAATATTAAGGGAGTTATGAAAACAACGTATTTTATATATATAATGCTTAATAACAATTAATATTTCATTATCAATTTTATTATTCAATTTTTGTGTTAAGAAACCAAATAAGTAGGATTCTTTATTGAAGTTAAATGGGATAATAAGTGCATCTAATAGAACTTCCAAGCTACTATTTTGAACCTCATTGCATTCCCATAAAATATGAGTTATAGTTTCAATTTCAGAGTTGCAAAGAATACACAGTGGCGATATAGCTAATCGAGTTTTAAAAAGAAAAGAATTAATTGTAAGAATGTAGTGATTAATTCTAAACTGGAACCATTGGAACTTTGTATTTGTTGTTATCAGAAAGGGTAACTTAAAAATTTGGTGCCATGTAAAATCATCAAAATCAAAGACTTCATTCCATTTTTTCTGACCTGAAGGAATAACCTTGCTCTTTATTAAAATGCTATAGAAATATTTTGAACCTTTGAGCTGTTTAAAGAAAGGTTCCAAGTTCAAAGGGATAAAAGGATATTCTAATTTTATTTTAGGAAACTCTGGCTCAGGGTTAAAATGCTTCACAGCCTTTAGAACACTATGATACTGAAGGAAATTAGTTTGTATATGGTATGTATGAGTGAATTCCTGAAAAGTATAGAATACTCCAGAATTAATATCTTTTATTAGGTCATTCACAACAATGGCGCCCTTTCTAAACCAGTCTTCAATAAAAATTGATTTCTTGTCAACAGTTATTTGATTGTTGAACCATATAGGGGTTTTCAGGAAAACTTCATTTTTGTCTATTCTTAAGTTATTAGCATAGTGTAGATTTTTATACGCTTTAAAAACATCAGACCCGAATATATTTTTACATTTATTTTGACAGCGTTGTATGTAATCAATACCACAATTAGACATAAGGTCTAAGTTTAAATATATTTTTAAAATTATTTGCCACTTCGAAGTTGATTGAAAAAGTCTTCTAACCCACCCCAGCTTCAGAGAATCTATAAAGGCTCTAACATTAACCATTTTTAAACCACCATCAATGTAATCCTGGGTAACAATATCTCTTCTTACTTTATCTGTTTTGTTGTTCCAAAGAAATTCACATAGCAATGAGTTTCATTTAGAGAGAAACTTGTCATCAGGGTTTGGCAGTGAGATAAATAGATGGTTAAATTGTGAAACTAAAAGTGATTTAATTACATTAATTTTACCAACTGGGCTTAATAATAGTCTTTTCCACGAATTAATTAGTGATTTAAGTTTTATAAGTTTTTGTCAAAGTTAAGTTTAGGTATCCGATGTAAGTTAGCATGAAATTTAATTCCAAGAAGAGTGAAGTGATCCCTACCCCATTGTAAATTAAGTTCAGGAAGAAATTGGTCTGTGCTGAATTTTTTGCTGCCAACCTGCACCACTTTGTTTTCGAGATATTAATTTTCAATCCTGATATATTTGCATAAAAGTTAAGCTGTGTAATAGATTCCCTCAGTGACCTTTCTGACCCATCAAGTGCCAGTGAAGTGTTATCTGCATACTGTGACAGAAGTATAGGACAACCATCAACATCAATATCCTTAATTTTCTCATTATTTCTTAGTTTAATTGCCAATATTTCTGCACACAAAATAAAGATATAAGGGGCGATTGGGTCCCCTTGTCGACAGCCCCTTTTTATTTAAAAAAAGAAGACAGATTCCCACCCTGATTAATTGTAGCACAAGCTTTGTTATGTAATGTTTTGACCCAAGGGATTAAACCATTTCCAAAACCAAAAAAATTAAAAGTCCTTTCAATAAATTCCAACGACACAGAATCGAATGCTTTTTCGAAATCAATCATTAAAAACATACCTGGGATATCATTTTCTCCTGTATACTGCATAACATCATAAACAAGTCTAGTGTTTTCCCCTATATAACGTCCTGCTAAAAAGTCTGTTAGATCCTTGTCAATTAGTTTGTTTAAAACATTATTTATTCTGTGTGCAATGGTGCCAGAAGCAATTTTATATACAACATTAAGTAATGAAATGGGTCTCCATTTTTTTTAATAAAATGCCTGGGTTTATCTCCCTTTGGTATACATGAAGTAATGCCACGCCTTTGAGAAATAGACAACCATTTTTATATCCTAGATTAATAGATCTGACAACAAAGTTCCCTACATGTTTCCAAAAACATTTGAAGAATTCAGCAGTAAACCATCTATTCCTGGACTTTTGTTATTTTTCATACCTTTCTGAGTTTCACTGGCTTCTTGGAGTGTGATAGGACCATCAAGCTTTTCAGAATCACATGGACTAATTCTATTGATATTGTATGGTTCTAAAAGATCATTCAGGTTAATATCATCTAAATCATCATTTGAATCATAAAGTTTTTCATAGAATGTATAAACGTCTTTCAAGACATTGTCCTGATTTGTTAAATTATTTCCATCCTCTAATTGTAGTTAAGGTATAACTTTACAAGTGAAGTTTCTACTTTCTAGATTATAAAAATAACTTGTAGGCTTTTCTCCCTCTTCAATCCATCTTGCACGTGATCTAATTATGCTGCCTTTGATTTTCTTTCCCTAATTGACTGTAATTCTCTTTTTTTAACTTCCAACTCCACAATATTTGTTACATCTTGCTCTTCCATAGCATGAATTTCTTTCTTAAGGATGTCCTCTCTGATATTTTGTTGTTTTTTTCTTGTGTGATGAGTAGGGTATAGTTTTACCTCTTATATTCATCAATAAAGTTTCAAGAAATAATTGATCATCTATTGTAAACAAAATGTCATCATCTGAAATACTACTTAAAATGTTAATATTATAAACTGGGAGACAATATTGGGCCTTTGTCTCAAATATACAAGCTTTCACAATATTAAGGTATTCAAGATCTTGTAGTAGACTATTATAAACTTCCATACCCCCTTACCAGCTATAAATTCATTGCGTTTTAAGGATATTGTTGGGAAAGAATGATCAGAACGATAGCCAGATTCTATATTTGCTTTGCTAGTACTAGATAAAAGATTCTCTGAGATTAGAAAGAAGTCTAGTCGAGCTTGCTTAAGTGGGTTGCTTTTCCTCCATGTGTACCTCCTCATATCTTCTTGTTGCTCTCTAAAAATATCTACCAGACCAAAATTATCAATGATTTCTAAAACTTTATCTCTGGCCTTAGGATTATTGAGATTCTTATATTTTTTATCATAATCAGATTTAGGATTAAGGACCAAATTAAAATCACCACAAATAATGACATATTTATTTGCAAAGTCTTCAACCGTTTCAGTAACAATATTGTAAAACTCGGGGTCATCATTATGTGGGCCATATAAGTTTATGAGAGTGATTCTAAAAGATTCTATCTCTATATCTAAAGCTAAAAAATTCCCAGTATTATCTTTTATCTCTTTATGTACCTTAAATTCATTATTATTTCTTAAAAAGAACGGCCACCCCACTTGCATTAGATTTAAAAGAATTAAAGTAACATTGATAACGGGAGGGTATTCACTTCTTATTATATTTTCCAGTTCTTTAGTAAAATGTGTCTTGTAAACAAAGAATATTACTGTTTTTAGATCTCAGATAAGAGAAAACATCCTTGCGTTTATTCTTATCCCCAAGACCTTGACTATTTGCCGATAAAAATTCTATTTCAGCCATAGACGTAGCTATGTCTCAAGAACAAGTTTACTTGATCCATCCCGGAGACGAAAAGAAACAGAGCAGATACTGAAATAGATAACAAGAATAGAAAGAAAGAGAAATTAAAAAATACTTTGAACATGATCATCATGTAATGACTACTGTCAACAGACATACTTTCTCATATCAGGTAGATTACACACTGTTACCGTACCCATTCTTGCAGCTTACTACAACAGGAAGTAAATACCGGAAGTAGAAGTTTAACATCTAATGAGTCCGACAGACTGTAAGAATAAAAAAGAAGGGGGAAAAAAAAAAAAAAAAAAAAACCCAGATTTTTCACAATAATTCCACAAATATTATGTTCGTTACTGATGATGAATGCTACAATTAGAGAAAGGAAAAGGACACTGGAAGTAGCTAGAAACACCCCATATAACAGTCAATGCAATTCCCCCGGCTCTGTATGTGTACGCCGAAATTAATTAATATAAATTTGTAGGCCTAAAAACTTTACTCTATTTATGTTATTATAAAGACTTACCAATCGTTAGAATAATAGGTCCCATATTTCACAACACGAACCACTCAAAGTAAAGAAACATTCATACCTATATACAAACTGTCCCAAAATCGGTAAAACCAGGGAAAATTCCTGGTGGCATTGAAGTGACCAGTACGTCACCGATATTGCAGTCGATATACATGTACATGCATATATAGTCATCCAAAATTGGAATCTTCCCTCAGAAAGGTGTTCGTGAGTGGCATGCCATAAGAAAGCCTCCCTTTTCTCCCATCAGTCAGAATAGCAAAGATCTTACCGTCCACGCTATATGAGTTTTTTCACGCTTTTGAGTTTGTAGGCGTCTGTGAGGATCTGCTGGTTGATCTTGGTGAGATCTTCGAAGATGGTGTAGCCAGTCTTCTTCAACTTAGTCCGGGCTTTGATTATTTCATTTCTCTTCCGTCTGTGGGTAAATTTAACGATGACATTTCTGCGTCTATCTGTAGTGTATTTCCCAAGACGGTGAGCGATGTCAATATCACCACTAGTGATCTGAACATCCAGTTTTGTAGACACAAAATTCACGATTTTGTCCACACATTCCTCTACAGATTCCGATGCAGAATTGTCTTTGAGACCATGAATGCGGAGTGAATTTTTTTCGACCGTGCTGTTCCAAGTCGTTGTAACGTGCATCCATACCCTCCTTTACATACTGTAATTTACTGACTGGTGTTTCCAAGTCACCAATGGTCTGACGAAGATTTTTGTTTTCCATTTCCAGTTCAAAAACTCTACCTTTTAATTCCTCCACTAACTCCTTGTTTTCCTCTCTGATGCTTTCCTTGAGTATCTTGATCTTGGAGTCAAACTCACTTTTTGTAATGAGAGTAGATAGCATGGCGTTAGATCTCATCAAGCCTCTCCTCAATATTCTTGTCAGACCCCCTAGTCTTAACTCCAGGACCTTCCGTGCTTTGTTTTATACCAGCCATAATTTCCTCAGAACCAAGAGTCCATATATATATAAGTAACAGATATAGTCTATAGATAATCCAGGTAAATGTGTATAGTATATAGTGATCCGTTAACAGTAGTCACTATGTAGGGTCCTAGGACATTGTCCTGACTCCAGATGCCAAATTACACATTTTCATTTTGAATTTCAAAAGTCAGATGTTACAGACTGGTCCACTGTACACTTATATTGTATGCCATCCAAAAAAAAAAGGATTGAAATTGTTTTAAGAATGTGTAGTAAATTCACTTTTTTGTCGGAGCTCCAAACAAAGGACTACCCAGACCCAACATGACCTTGACCTCCTTCCGTATACTTTATATATATTACGAGAGGACTTCCTAGGTTATATCATCTTTCGTCCTATCAACTTTGTCATTTTCAAAGGCAAATGAATTATGTATTTAGACAAGGATTGCTAGATATTATTGGTGTAACATTTAACTTGAAACTACCAATAAACCGTCAAGAGAATGTCATCGTTCACATCAAAATATAAAACGTGGTAGACACACTGCTGTCTTGTTAATAACACTTACGGAGTGGTGGGTGAATCTCAATGTCAAGGAAAGAGCTATTTGCAAGGGCAGGCAGAATTTGTGATACTGCAGCTCCTTTCTTCATGATCTCTGGAACTATAAAACGAATATATTTCCCGTCTTGGATGTACATCATTATTTTCAGAGAGCACAAATTATCATATGAAGAACATTATTACAGTCAATGATAAACTGATTTATTCGGATTTAAAACATTTACAAACAAATTAAATCCCACCCCCACCCTATCCCCTCCCTTTTCTCCGGAAATAGAACATTTAACGACGTGTTTATCCTACAATACAGACAAATAACAAAAACAGCATATACACAAGACGCAATTCTGCCTGTTTGTATAGATATACTATTGCTCCTTATTTAACACTTACTCTTCCCCTGGAGTTTGCTGATAATTCCCATCTGTGACTTAGCAATGCCATGCCGAAATGTTTCATTTTTGGTAGCGATCAAAGCCTGCAAAATTGAAAAGAAGATAATTTTACACAGTTATTTGAGTGAAGGTAAGTTTGTTGGAAATCAAAGACACGACAGACTCGTCTACATCAGCAGCTTATACCGATCTTTTCCTACAACGAAACCAACATGGACATCTTTCCATCAAGCTGTGATGATTTCAATTTCCCTATTGTGAATTTTGCATTTCTGCATAGCAATATTCCTGCATATCAAACCTATGGTATTAAATGTCACATTTGATTAGATATTCAAGGTCTGTTTGAATCATCACGATTTTCGTGCAGGAAATCGTCGACTGACTGACAAACTTTTAACACAAAGGTTCAAAAGACGGTGGTTGATGAAAATTATGTGGAAGGTTAATAGTCGCAATAGTGAGAAATATTATATTCCCTTGTATGATATGAAGCTGGCAATGCCCGTTAGTTTGCCTGTTTGTTCGGTTGTTGTATACATTGTTCTCATTTTAGAACGTGACATTACTTGTTTGGATTGACTTATGTTTTTACACGACAGGTGTAGTCGATGAAAAAGAAGACGCTTACTCTTCCGAGACACGTGGTCTTATTCTTGTCTTTTTTCGGGACTCTCGGTGTAATTTTTTCTTTTGTATATATATTGCCCTAGTTTTATACATGTGACTTAAGCAATTTTAATTATGCACCCAAACGTAACACATGGAATCAAAGATACTCTTCAATATGTAGATTTCAGTTATTTCATAGAAATCTTATCCTTTATTAAAGACTCCAAGACACATTATTTAAAAAACAAATGTACTTATTCTAAATCATGAACGTATTTGATACTTTAGGTATTCTTTTTGAACTGTTGAATTTTTTCTAGTCTATACATAATTCCGGAGAGTGAGACCAGCAATGCTTGCATAATGCACCATAATAACAACATTTGGTGTCAGTCTCAAAATTTACAAGTCTAGTATGATGTTATTGCATTTGTAGATTATAACAGTGTAGTCAGTGTCAGTAATACACACAGATTATTGCAACTTTACCTGTGCAGCTAACCCGAGCGAATATTCATTGAGTGTATTGTTTTCATTCATTATCTCACGCCACACAACATCGGCTGCAGCCTGGGCTGCATAGCTTGAAGTCTCGGTGTTGAGGCAGGTGCACGCCATCGTTATCATTGAGGCTTCATCTAATAAAACCACAACTCGAACGATTCGCCATTAAGTTCGATAAAATTGCATCAATTCCTAATTAACCGATTGGGTCCTAACCTCTATGTGACCTTTTGCGAATAATCGACGCACATATATCAATCGTTATACGAAGAATTAGTATTGACCTACTGTTATATTAAGGCTGTAATGACCTACTGTTATATTAAGGCTGTAATGACCTACTGTTATATTAAGGCTGTATTGACCTACTGTTATATTAAGGCTGTATTGACCTACTGTTATATTAAGGCTGTATTGACCTACTGTTATATTAAGGCTGTAATGACCTACTGTTATATTAAGGCTGTATTGACCTACTGTTATATTAAGGCTGTATTGACCTACTGTTATATTAAGGCTGTAATGACCTACTGTTATAGTAAGGCTGTATTGACCTACTGTTATATTAAGGCTGTATTGACCTACTGTTATAGTAAGGCTGTATTGACCTACTGTGATAGTAAGGCATTAAGGCTGTATTGACCTACTGTTATAGTAAGGCTGTATTGACCTACTGTTATATTAAGGCTGTATTGACCTGCTGTTATATTAAGGCTGTATTGACCTACTGTTATATTAAGGCTGTATTGACCTACTGTTATATTAAGGCTGTATTGACCTACTGTTATATTAAGGCTGTATTGACCTAGTGTTATGATAAGGCTGTATTGACCTACTGTTATATTAAGGCTGTAATGACCTACTGTTATATTAAGGCTGTAATGACCTACTGTTATATTAAGACTGTATTGACTTAATGTTATATTAAGGCTGTATTGACCTACTGTTATATTAAGGCTGTAATGACCTACTGTTATATTAAGGCTGTAATGACCTACTGTTATATCAAGGCTGTATTGACCTACTGTTATATTAAGGCACTATTGACCTACTGTTATATTAAGGCTGTATTGACCTACTGTTATATTAAGGCTGTAATGACCTACTGTTATATTAAGGCTGTAATGACCTACTGTTATATTAAGGCTGTATTGACCTACTGTTATATTAAGGCTCTATTGACCTACTGTTATATTAAGGCTGTATTGACCTATTGTTATATTAAGGCTGTAATGACCTACTGTTATATTAAGGCTGTATTGACCTACTGTTATATTAAGGCTCTATTGACCTACTGTTATATTAAGGCTGTATTGACCTATTGTTATATTAAGGCTGTATTGACCTATTGTTATATTAAGGCTGTAATGACCTACCGTTATATTAAGGCTGTATTGACCTACTGATATATTAAGGCTGTAATGACATACCGTTATATTAAGGCTGTAATGACCTACTGTTATAGTAAGGCTGTTTTGACCTACTGTTGTAGTAAGGCTGTTTTGACCTACTGTTATATTAAGGCTATTATGACCTACTGTTATATAAAGGCTGTATTGACCTACTGTTATATTCAGGCTGTAATGACCTACTGTTATATTAAGGCTGTAATGACCTACTGTTATATAAAGGCTGTATTGACCTACTGTTATGTTAAGGTTGTAATGACCTACTGTTATATTAAGGCTGTATTGACCTACTGTTATATTATGGCTGTAATGACCTACTGTTATAATAAGGCTGTAATGACCTACTGTTATATTAAGGCTGTATTGACCTACTGTTATATTTAGGCTGTAATGACCTACTGTTATAATAAGGCTGTAATGACCTACCAGTGTGATGGTCTTGTTTATTAAGACTGTATTGACCTCCTGTTATATTAAGGCTGTATTGACCTAATATTATATTAAGGCTGTAATGACCTACTGTTATATTAAGGCTGTAATGACCTACTGTTATATTAAGACTGTATTGACCTACCGTTATATTAAGGCTGTATTGACCTACCAGTGTGATGGTCTTGTTTATTAAGACTGTATTGTTCTACCGTTATAGTATGGCTGTTTTGACCTACTGTTATAGTAAGGCTGTATTGACCTACTGTTATAATAAGGCTGTAATAACCTAGTGTTATATTAAGTCTGTAATGACCTACTGTATTGACCTACTGTTATAGTAAGGCTGTATTGACCTACTGTTATATTAAGGCTGTATTGACCTACTGTTATATAAAGGTTGTATTGACCTACTGTTATATTAAGGCTGTATTGACCTACTGTTATATTCAGGCTGTTTTGACCTACTGTTATATTAAGGCTGTAATGACCTACTGTTATATTAAGGCTGTATTGACCTAGTGTTATAATAAGGCTGTATTGACCTACTGTTATATTAAGGCTGTATTGACCTAGTGTTATAATAAGGCGGTATTGACCTACTGTTATATTAAGGCTGTATTGACCTAGTGTTATGATAAGGCTGTATTGACCTACTGTTATATTAAGGCTGTAATGACCTACTGTTATATTAAGGCTGTAATGACCTACTGTTATATTAAGGCTGTATTGACTTAATGTTATATTAAGGCTGTATTGACCTACTGTTATATTAAGGCTGTAATGACCTACTGTTATATTAAGGCTGTAATGACCTACTGTTATATCAAGGCTGTATTGACCTACTGTTATATTAAGGCACTATTGACCTACTGTTATATTAAGGCTGTATTGACCTACTGTTATATTAAGGCTGTAATGACCTCCTGCTATATTAAGGCTGTATTGACCTACTGTTATATTAAGGCTGTAATGACCTACTGTTATATTAAGGCTGTAATGACCTACTGTTATATTAAGGCTGTAATGACCTACTGTTATATTAAGGCTGTATTGACCTACTGTTATATTATGGCTCTATTGACCTACTGTTATATTAAGGCTGTATTGATCTACTGTTATATTAAGGCTGTATTGACCTACCAGTGTGATGGTCTTGTTTATTAAGACTGTATTGTTCTACCATTGTAGTAAGGCTGTTTTGACCTACTGTTATATTAAGGCTGTATTGACCTACCAGTGTGATGGTCTTGTTTATTAAGACTGTATTGTTCTACCATTGTAGTAAGGCTGTTTTGACCTACTGTTATAGTAAGGCTGTTTTGACCTACTGTTATATTAAGGCTGTATTGACCTACTGTTATATGAAGGCTGTAATGACCTACTGTTATAGTAAGGCTGTATTGACCTACTGTTATATTAAGGCTGTATTGACCTACTGTCATATTCAGGCTGTTTTGACCTACTGTTATATTAAGGCTGTAATGACCTACTGTTATATTAAGGCTGTATTGACCTAGTGTTATAATAAGGCGGTATTGACCTACTGTTATATTAAGGCTGTATTGACCTAGTGTTATAATAAGGCGGTATTGACCTACTGTTATATTAAGGCTGTATTGACCTAGTGTTATGATAAGGCTGTATTGACCTACTGTTATATTAAGGCTGTAATGACCTACTGTTATATTAAGGCTGTAATGACCTACTGTTATATTAAGGCTGTATTGACTTAATGTTATATTAAGGCTGTATTGACCTACTGTTATATTAAGGCTGTATTGACCTACTGTTATATTAAGGCTGTAATGACCTACTGTTATATCAAGGCTGTATTGACCTACTGTTATATTAAGGCACTATTGACCTACTGTTATATTCAGGCTGTATTGACCTAGTGTTATATTAAGGCTGTATTGACCTACTGTTATATTAAGGCTATTATGACCTACTGTTATATAAAGGCTGTATTGACCTACTGTTATATTCAGGCTGTAATGACCTACTGTTATATTAAGGCTGTAATGACCTACTGTTATATAAAGGCTGTATTGACCTACTGTTATGTTAAGGTTGTAATGACCTACTGTTATATTAAGGTTGTAATGACCTACTGTTATATTAAGGCTGTATTGACCTACTGTTATATTATGGCTGTAATGACCTACTGTTATAATAAGGCTGTAATGACCTACTGTTATATTAAGGCTGTATTGACCTACTGTTATATTTAGGCTGTAATGACCTACTGTTATAATAAGGCTGTAATGACCTACCAGTGTGATGGTCTTGTTTATTAAGACTGTATTGACCTCCTGTTATATTAAGGCTGTATTGACCTAATATTATATTAAGGCTGTAATGACCTACTGTTATATTAAGGCTGTAATGACCTACTGTTATATTAAGACTGTATTGACCTACCGTTATATTAAGGCTGTATTGACCTACCAGTGTGATGGTCTTGTTTATTAAGACTGTATTGTTCTACCGTTATAGTATGGCTGTTTTGACCTACTGTTATAGTAAGGCTGTATTGACCTACTGTTATAATAAGGCTGTAATAACCTAGTGTTATATTAAGTCTGTAATGACCTACTGTATTGACCTACTGTTATAGTAAGGCTGTATTGACCTACTGTTATATTAAGGCTGTATTGACCTACTGTTATATAAAGGTTGTATTGACCTACTGTTATATTAAGGCTGTATTGACCTACTGTTATATTCAGGCTGTTTTGACCTACTGTTATATTAAGGCTGTAATGACCTACTGTTATATTAAGGCTGTATTGACCTAGTGTTATAATAAGGCGGTATTGACCTACTGTTATATTAAGGCTGTATTGACCTAGTGTTATAATAAGGCGGTATTGACCTACTGTTATATTAAGGCTGTATTGACCTAGTGTTATGATAAGGCTGTATTGACCTACTGTTATATTAAGGCTGTAATGACCTACTGTTATATTAAGGCTGTAATGACCTACTGTTATATTAAGGCTGTATTGACTTAATGTTATATTAAGGCTGTATTGACCTACTGTTATATTAAGGCTGTAATGACCTACTGTTATATTAAGGCTGTAATGACCTACTGTTATATCAAGGCTGTATTGACCTACTGTTATATTAAGGCACTATTGACCTACTGTTATATTAAGGCTGTATTGACCTACTGTTATATTAAGGCTGTAATGACCTACTGTTATATTAAGGCTGTATTGACCTACTGTTATATTAAGGCTGTAATGACCTACTGTTATATTAAGGCTGTAATGACCTACTGTTATATT